ACATGTTCAAAGTATTCAAATTTTCTATAACATTTTTCTTTGTTCTTGTTTTAAAAAAACGTTTGACAAAGTGAAAATACTTTTTGAAGTTGGGATAGTCCAGGTTTTTGTTTAGGTAATAGTTATCAAAATTAAAATTCTATGACTTCCCCGCAAGGCGTCATAGCCCGGTTAATAACAGGTCCACTACGGGGTAGCCGGTTAAAGGATATTTCTAAGACGTCATTGCCCCTTTCCTCTTCTCCCATCAGGTATTACAAAGCGAGCAAACACCAAAAGGAAGTCCTGGCGAACTACCCGCGCAGCGTGGGACCTGCTTGGCTTGGAGGAGTGTGTGGACACGCCCCCAAATAGCTGACGTCACTTCCCGCGTCAAAGGATATGGATTGACAACAACAACAACAAAAAAAGAAGTATGGTGATCTCATGGGACAGTTCCTTTAAAAAACAACAAATGAGAATTTTTTTCCCGAGGTTTCTTTTAAATTTTTTCCCTCAACACAAAATAATAATTAATGGAAGTTGACTCAATGATTTGCAACCTAAGAAATCTGAGTTACATCATCATCTTCAAAAAATTGAAAACTCAATTTTTACGGAGAATTTGTTTTTTTTTTTTACTATCACAATTTACTTGTTGAAATATCTCCATGAGAATGGCTTTATTACCCATCTAATGACTCTATGCCCCATATAATGGCTCTACGACACATCTAATAGCTCTATACCACATCTAATGACTATATGCCCCATCTAATGGCTTTATGCCCCAACGTATGGCTCTATGCCCCATCTAATGACTCTATGCCCCATCTAATGGCTCTACGACTCATCTAATCATTATGTGCCACATCTAATGACATTATGACCCATCTAATGACTATAAGACCCATCTAATAGCTCTATGCCCCATGTAATGGCTCTACGCCTCATCTAATATATCTATGCCCCATATAATCGCTCTATGTCCCATCTCATACAACCACATCGGGTTAAGTCAAAGTTAGCAGTTTAAAAACAGTATTATGTTTACATGTACCATGTGATCTCATTTGCTTACATTCAGATCCGTCTGCGCCCTTGTGTCACTCTGAATGTCGTTCTTTTTATACTGCACACATGGAAATGTTTTAATGTGAACATTCAAAGGTATATCTGGTTTTAATGTTGATTAATAAAATCAAATTCATATAAACTGTGTAGCATTAACTAACATAGCCTAGCCTACCATTAACTTTTTAATTTAAAAAAAGCATGATAATTTTTAAAAAAATATATGAATTTAAATATCATTATTTTACCACTTTTAATTATTTTTTTTAAAAAACATTTAAAGACATCATTGGAAAATATGCGCAAAACAGAAATTGCGCCACTGAACGCATTACCGCTCGATGAGTAGTCATTCTTTGGCGCTTCATATATTCTCATCATAACGACCATGAAAATCAAGTATAGGGGGCAAAAAAAAAAAAAAAAAAAAAAAAAAAAAAAAAATAAACAAAAATTGCGCCACTGAACGCATTACCGCTCGATGAGTATTCATTTTTTGGCGCTTCAAATATTCTCATCATAACGACCATGAAAAAAAAGTATAGGGGGAAAAAAAAAAAAAAAAAAGAAAAAAAAAAGGGGGATGCAAATTTTCAATGATGGCTTTTATTTATTTTTTTGAAATCTACTTGTTCTTCTTATTTCTTAGCTTCACTTTCATCCACCATCACCCATCTCCCCCCCACCCCCCTCTCCACAATTAATTCTCGGACGTAGGCATAGTGACGGTACATTCCTATTCCCTATGACCGAAGTTTATTTCATTTCTATGTTATCATTTATTTTTATGGTCATATTTAGAAGACGGCTTTTGGCCGATACATTCATTTTTATGGTGCAACTTCTTCAAAAGGCTTTCACATACCATGTACATTATTTGTTAATTTTAATTTAGTTTTTTTAGTTTTGAATGTTGAAGAGAGAGAGGTTTCTTGTCATATTGTTAAGCTCAACAAATGAAGAGTTCATTTATGTTACATGATTTGTGTTGTTACTTATTAAAACATAACGGTTTATATGAATGTATTAAATTTATATTTTCTAAAAAGGCAACAAAACCGATTAAAATAGAAAATGCAATGAATGTGTTTATAACAAAAGTAATATTAAAAGCTAAACAAAAAGTTTTTTTTTTTTTTTAAAAACTCCTGTGTTGTTCATTTTTATTTTTGTTCATTGCGATGAATTGTAAACTGTAAAAATGTATGTTCTAGAAATAATTTGGATGTTGTCAACTGGAACACCCCTAAAATAATTAATAAAAAATATCTCCGATTGTTTAGTTTGCATGTTTGACCAAATGTAACGCAAAATTGGGTAGACCAGCGGTTCTCAACATTTTTAGTGACGTGATCCTTTAATAACTTACTATTGAAAGTTGTGACAACCCCCCCCCCCCCAACCTTTTCTCAAAACACCCAGGATTATACCCTTAATTGAGGAACGGGGGTTAAGAAGTTAAGTGGGGGGTATAAACTAGTTGACCTAAAAATATTAAATTTTTTAATTGGTGACAGTTTATTTATTATAAAATAAACTGTACTTATTGTAAAATAATCTGTGTCGCAAACTGAATGAAAACTGTGAGCTGCAAACTGAGTGGCAGACTGTGAGTGGCAGACTGTGAGTGGCAGACTGTGAGTGGCAGACTGTGAGTGGCAGACTGTGAGTGGCAGACTGTGAGTGGCAGACTGTGAGTGGCAGACTCTGAGTGGCAGACTGTGAGTGGCAGACTGTGAGTGGCAGACTGTGAGTGGACCATCCACGACCGCAGTATTTTCTCGCCATTTTGCATCATCTCGTAGATCCACTGTTTTGTTAGTTGGCGCACACCTCCTTAAGATTTGGCATTTTGCCTTGCTACTACGCTGAATAGTCCGTCCTTGTTCTGAAACGAAGTACTTCATATTTTAGTAATTTCAGACCGAAAATAATTTGGAACTGGTACATTCTAGAGAGAAGCATGTAATAAAATGTGCCAGTTTTTGTAATTAACCATTACACTTACTGTATCTTGGTTTGAATGAACATTATCAGAAGACATTTTGTTTCCAAACCATCCATGTCTTTTACTTGTGTTTTCATGCCAATCTCTTATATTTTCTCCACTATGTGCTCTAAAGAATGCATGAGGTAGACTCAGTATCAATGGTAGGCTGAGGAATATATTTTGATGAACCCTTAACCTGGTCATCATTTAATTTGTTTTCTTGACATATCGAAGCATGTATTCTTGTAGTGATTTTAGTGAGTCGCGTATTTTCTTTGCTTGCTTTTCACTGCTGACAGCCACTTGGCCATTTAGAATTGTTCACGCCATGTGGCATGCTATCATAATCTTGAACAATAAAAATGCTTTAATTTTTTATGTTCAAGACAACAAACACATAATTACTGACGATACTATCAGAGTACTGTCCAAAACACAACACAGAAAGGTGGAAGGTCAAACTCAGCAATCGAACAAGACAACCATGCTGAAATGTTTAAGGGAGATACTAGTGACGAATCGGGGACAACATTATGAATATCCGTTAGACCGAGCAGTGTGTTCTCTGTAAATATGCAATTTTTTCAATCGGGTGTCACCCCTAAAATGGTGTCACCCGGTGCGATCCGCACCCCCCCTCACCCCCTCGCTACGCCACTGCATGAATTAAATACTTAAAAAATGACTTTCGACCCATTTATAGGTTGAATAAAATAATATTTTAAATAATTTTCTGATATCTTTTAATTATCTTCTTTAATTTAAATAAAATGAATTTTTTTAAACCAAATATATCGAAACTCAGAAATACTAAAAAAAAAAATTATAATAATTTTCGCCGATTCGTCACTATATAGCTCCGCCCCTTAGCATCTGAGGTCGATTGTCATACAGCACACTAGGTCTTTTACATAATCTCTGTGATTTGATCTGCTACCTTTGGGTTGATCTACTTGAGGAATTTATCTTACACAGCAGTATCTGATGACTAAAGGATTTACTCTTGACGCTGTGGTGACAAACATTAAGGTCTTAAGATTATTTCTGCACGAGGAGCGCTCCCACTTTGGGGGACATGGTATTAATAAGGCACTTTTAAAATAAGACCATTATGGAAATTCGGTAGAGAGAAGATAAGATTCTTTTATCGATTCAAACAAATGGAATTATTTGTTGATTACATTGTTCATATACATTTTCAGCACATAAATAAGTACATATTTTAATAAAGTCGAAATTTTCCAACTAAAAAAATTTAAACACCAAAAATCTACATTAAATTATTTCTCTAGTGTAAAAAAAAAAAAAATACCCATTCAGTGAACACCCTTAGTCATAACAGGGACTTAATTAGGGATCATATAGATTTTGTGACTTCTGGGGGAGCACGCTTGTAAATTCGTACAGATTGGGGAACAAAAGAAATTGTATATCTTTCAATCCTCGCCTTGGGAGAAAGAAATTTAAAGACAATTTGATTGTGTGAACTGTACATAACTTAACGGTGTTACAGATTTTAAATACACCCTGACTTTTCATTAATTTGGTTTCTTTTCCTTGTCATTCTGATACTGTGGACCTATTTTAACGAGAAGAAACCCATCGTGGAAGTCGGGGGAGGGGGTGACACCATGAGTTTATCGCACCGGGTGACACTAGCATGGTTACGCCACTGCCTGTAGCTCTTCGCCACTGTATGCCAAACTAAGATTCACCACTACAGGAGAAGGTAGGAACACTTGAATTGTTCTAGTCATGCTACTTAAATTTACTTTCTTCTTTCTTATAATAAATCCTTTATTTGGTAATAGCACCAGCATGTAAGAATATAGTGAAATTTTGCATATGAAACTATCCATCTGCAACTAGTCAACACATGCTTTAATTTCAAGCTACAGATTTCTTTTAAGTGAATTTTCGGACATTTGTGCACTTGTGTAAATTTGTGCTCTTTTAACTTGACGACCGAAAGCGTTTTCTGTCATGGTGGATTTGATTTTAGGTTTGCTTGTTTTGATGTTCTTATTAGTCTGCAGCTGTTTACCGAATCTAGGCCCATATTTTGGTTGTTGTGTACCCACAAATTAGCGCCTAATGAGCTAAGGTGAGAATTTGTGAATTTTAGTTATAATTAGGGCCTAAGTATAGCGAAGAAAAAAAAACCTATTGATACACGACTCACAACATCAACAACGCATTTTAACATTTTTTTTACGTGCGTGCTCAAACATGTAAATGAAAATGTAATGAATTGACACTGAACTGAATTGTAATCTTGTCGTATGTTAGTATATTACCCTACATTGTAAATGTAAGCTGATTGATCATCATTTTAATTATGTATGTGTGTAGAATCTAGCCTGCAGTCAGGGTCGAATTCAGCAAACTAGAGACTAGAGGCCTAGTCTAGGCCAGTGTTTTGTTCGGCAAACTCATTAGTGACATTAGTCTTAGACAAAAGAGCCACAAATAAGCAGCAGGATGATTACAAATTTTTTAGAGCTGTTAAGAACCATGTTTTTCTGAGTCAAAACCGAACACACGCCAGATTGCCGATCACGGCCCTAGGCTAATTTTAATTAAATTTGTAGGTCCCTTGCAATCATCCCAGAAACTGAAGTGGCATTAAAGGGTGTGCAAATTTAAAAGTCAATCTTAAGCTCAGTAGGGAAATAATTTATCAATAATTGATTAGCTATTCTCTCTACAGTACGACTTTTTGTAAATATTTCCTTTAAATTAATGTCCAGAGCCTTAGCATGAGTTGCATGTCTTTTGAGACCTTTAATTGCCACTTTTTGTTTTTTATTATTTATTATTTAGCTAATTATAAGTATTTTCTATTACTATTAATTTCTTTACAACATCCCAACTGTGAGTCCATTAACTGGAATATTTAAATATCTGAGGCCCCATAAAGCGACATGGGTTGCAAGGCCCATGTCGTGACGGCTCTGTTAATATCACTGCTGTGTGTTTTATTTTATTTAAAATTAATAGTAAATTATTTTATTTTTATAAATTAATTTTTTAGCTCATCAATCTATAAAATGTTTCTCCTCAATTTTTGAGGTGCTAGGCTTAAGCCTACTAGACTATTTAGCCTAAAGGGAATTCTGGTACTGCCATTAGCATTTAGGCCTAGACTTAGACTATTATAATACAAATTATAATTATATTGATAAGTATTGAGTATTGTTTAAAATGATGATATGATATTGATCACTAAAAAGCATAGAGTAGTAGGCGGTTATATTAATTTAATAACCAGTAATGAATGCAATGTGAGAATCAGACTATTATTTACTATTAATACTAGTTATGATGATTGATTACGTGTATAGCGCTTGTGCCCAGTTAAAGATCAGTGATAAGCTGAGACTGGCAATAATATATTTTTCAAGGTAAAATGCTATCCGTGATTCATGAAAATAATTAATACTAATATTCATAAGATAATACTTGATGATTTTATGATCCAATTACTATTTAAAAATAATTAGGCTATATAACTAGTAAAAGTAAGCCTATCTGTTGAGACTATTGCTTTAAAAACAACACTGCATTACCAGATTTCATGTCCTATGCCTATGGTAGTTATGCAATGAGTCATGACTTTGAAGCATCCTTATATACCAACAACATGATGAAAAGGAAACTAGGTACACATAATCCTATTTCACAATAAACACATCTTTCTCCATAAAAAATGTTTTAGCAATAGATTTCATCTTTCCAAAATCATATTTTCAAACAGAAAATAAACTTTCTCAAAAATTATCTTATAAATTATGAAATAGAATTATTAGGAAATATTATCTTGCCACAGACAGGGGCTTAGAAAAGAATAATATAGAAAATGATGTCTCTCCCTGAAATTCAAACACATCTGCATTTAGAGACCAGATAAATGTAACAATAAAAAAAATTTAAAAGATTTCAAGAAATTCTACAGGCTTTTCTATATGTAAAATCAAGAAATCACATTAAAAATGAAAAACAAAACAGGAAGTGGACAATAATATTTCGTAACATAACTAATTTTATATTATTGGCATATATGCATCAGAAGTAGTAATAATAAATTTGTTCTCTACACACCACAAACAATTAATCGGAATGTGATGATGTCAATCATGGGTTAGATTAACAATGGCAAGAATTGAAAGTGGGTAGGACCGCAGATAAACCTTTATTCACCAAAGTCACAATTTTAATCTGGTTCTGGTAGCAGACCTGTTTACTCTTACGATTTTGGCGTACAGTGTACGATTTTTAGGTGCATACATTATATATACTGTATGTTTATTTTCTTACTATTAAGATAATGTATTGAACGATTTTGTGTTGATATTGTACGATTTTAAGAGTTTTAGGGTAAACAGGTCTGTGGTAGTGTTCGTTGCTGCATCCATATACTGGCATCTGTGCAACGGGTGGGGAAGCGATGTTCCTATTCTAACAGCTCCTAGCAGAAGCCATGGCAGCCTTACTTGAAGCTTTCATGTCGAGTCCACAGCGGCATTGTCCAGGTGGTTCTAAGCAATTATTGTGCATGGGAAGAATGATCGTTTATACTGCACTGTGTTACACCGAGGCACAGTGAAGCATTTGCTATTGTTTCGGGTGTAATTGTTTATGGGGTTTTCAGTGGTGAAATCAGTGTTCAGCTAGCGTTTGACTCTGATTAATCGACCTTGCTTCTGTGGGGTGAGGTATGTGTTTGCTGGGATGGCAAACAAACTATATCACACAATCTCAAAGATAGATTGTCATATTCTCATGACAGATGACGGGACATAATAGATTCTTTAATCTGGGTCCAAAAATTACATCACAATTAAGGAATAAAAATTGAATTTAACCCTGATTTTACCTTTTCCAATTGTAGAAGAAAGATGGACTTGAGAGGTGAATGTCAATATCTTCTTCAAAAGCTGAAACAATCTCAGCAGCAGGCTCAACTTCTAACTGGAAAAAAGACACAACATGTCACAGAGAAAAGGAAGAAGAAGCCGGAAATAGTCATTGAGCAAAAATCAGCTAAAGAGAATATCGACCCCCTTGTTATTGAAATTAGCAGCATGGTTGAGGACAATACAAACACTAAATCCAAAAAAACAGAACTTGCCAGAAACAAGTTATTGAGCTATTCAAAAGAAAATGTCCCCCCCAAGGTAATAGACAACAATTTTGACGTCAGAATCACAGATTTTCGCAACATTGATAAATTACCAATGGGGACAAAATCTCAGAGTATAATCAGAAATGAGGAACATTTTTGTCGGCTCAAAAAATCTCCATTGTTAGATAAACCCCAAGAAAATGCAAATTATTCTGCTGAGGAAAATACCCCTGAGAATGAAAAGCAAAACGCAGAAAGTTTACAAATTAACGCTAACAAGTATGCTGAGAATCATCCCAGTAATTTGATACAAAGGAAAACTCTTTCTAAAGCTCATGTCCAGCCGCATCAAGATGAAGAAAACTTTTCACACCAGTCCTCGGTGCAGTCATCTGATTACGACAGTAAAAGTGAATTTAGGAAACAGCTGGAGCATGATGGGAACAAGAGGGCGATGGCCGCTGCTCTCAACAGATCAATAATAAAGTCAAACCCATCTGTGTCAGGAAAGTCAATAAATGTAAGTTTTTATTGTTCTTGAAATTATAAAATGCATGTACCACTGCTTAAACAAAAACCTTAGTTTTGTCACCAGCTTCTCTGTCTATTTCTATGCTCAACCCATGGGCACCACATGCCCCATTCCCCATTACTGAAACCTCTGGCTTGTAAGTCAGTGATAATTTCTGATATCATAGAGAAAACATCCCGATCAGTGTTATGAAACCTTGGAGTAGTGACCATTTTTGTGGGGGTTTATTATTTTTGTGGCGACATATGGGTCTCCACAGAACTTTATTCTATAAAACTTGTTGTTGCAACCATTTCATAATGAAGTTCAAATGATAAGTCCCTAAACAGTTGTTGAACATATTCATCGGCATATTTATTTTATGAACTCTATGATCTGACATAGGAGAAATGTCTAAACTATGGCTCTGTGCCGCCTGTTTAGTATTTTAATTGAAACTAATGTTAGGACAAGTAAAAATAAACCTTAATCCATGTTTCCAATATTTTATGTAAACTTTTTCTGAAAAGTTATTAGTTGCTAAAGTGAGTTGAAGTCAATGCAAAGACTGTTCATTCTAATAATTAAGAATATATACTTTATGTAATTTATTTGATGTTTTTGATTCATGTAAAGAAAGCCTAATCATTATTTCTGTACTCATGGGTAGGAGTCTTTCAATGACTTTTGGTTTACTAGTAACCTGGTATTCAATAATATACCTTGTTATGGATTCTTTAAATACATGACCGACGAAACCAACGGTCAATATCTATGACTGACCACAACTTATCTTGGACGGTCCATGCCTCTAATTGCTTTCATGTCAGAATGTCAACAATCTATCATTGGCTGCCTGGAGAGATATTTTAAATGCAGATATGATGTTATTTTTATGATGGTTATTCAAATTAAAAATGTATCAATATGTTTGAGTAAGTCTGACATTTGGCGCATGTGATTTCCCAGGGAGACAACCGTTCACCGTTTGCTGGGCATGGCACAAAGACACCTCTACAGGACCAGCATTTCCTGGGCTATGACTGGATCGCTGCTGTGCTGGACAATGATTCGGAGCTCATGACTCAGACTGAGAGCTTCTTCAATGAACTGAAACACTTCAGGAAATCTTATAAGGACGAGTGTTGCAGCACACATTACAAGGAGTGAGTAGGGATAACTTATCGTTAGCGCTTGCTTTGGTTAAATAGTGTTTCATGAGATATTATTTATTTCCTGGTTGCTATCAGCAAAGAAATAAATTGTGGAGACTCGACAGCCTAGGGTTTTTCAGAAACACAACAAATAGGAATGAAAGTCAAGGACAGGGCTGCACACAAATTGTTATAACACATTGCCGACACATCTCATGTCTACTTCCTTGTTAGCAGTAGAATAAATCATATACAAAGTGGCTCAATCAGTTTGTCAATTTCTACACTTGTCTGCCTTTCAGGATTGAACTAACTTCAATACAGGATCATACACCTTCATTATAGACAGTATTAGAACACATATTCCATGAACTGATTTTCTTGTAACAGTATTTAGAACACAGATTCCATTAACTGATTTACTTGTAACAGTATTAGAACACAGGTTCCATTAACTGATTTACTTGTAACAGTATTTAGAACACCATTCCATTAACTGATTTAATCTTAATATTATTAGAGCACTCTTTATTCACAGAAGAATTGGCTTTGGTATTTAAACACACAGACACATAACAATAAAATGATGTTTTCTTTATATCGCCTTATAAATATAAAAAGACATTTTAACCTTGGATTAGATCTCTCCAGGCTTTATAACAGTTTTAAAGAACAGTTTATAATAGAACAGTTGTATAGAACAGTTGTATAGAACAGTTTCATAGAACAGAGTTTCATAGAACAGTTTATAATAGAACAGTTTATAATAGAACAGTTCTTCAGGGATTTGTTCAGCTTAGGAATGAGTTAATTTTGAGAGCTTGTAACATTGTCAGTTAGGCAGACGTCAGTATTCTTCCAGTTTGAGATCCTCAAAAATGACTCAGTCCTTCCTGATGAAAAAAACTGGGTCATTATTCAAAGCAAAAATAGCTTCATGAATGATCATCTTAATGTACACCACACAAATTCTGAATTCCCCTTTTGTTCAGTGTATAGGCCTCACTCTCTCTACCCTCTGACTCAAAAAAAAAATTTAAGTCTTTAAATTTAAACTAGAGGTGTTGCAAAAAAAGGTAATTAATTTTAAAAAAATTGAAATAGCAACACACTTTAAACACTTTAAGAATGAGGCTCATAATCAAGAGTGATCTAAACATAGGAAAAATAATGTAAATTAGTGTTAAAATTAATAAATGAAAAATATGTAACTATTTCATGTCAGAAAATATGAAAAATATACAGGTTTAAATAATAATGTTCAATTGTGTGACATTAAAAATTTGTATGTCTAATTTGGATTACAAATTATATAGTTACATGTTGAAAGCTCAACCAAACTTATAAATGCTTCTGCTTAGTTGAAAAGCGGTATAACAATAAAACACTTATTCTGAATGTTCTATTGACCATATTTGGACAGAGAACCTCACACCTTGATTGACTTGGAACCAGAACCAGTAGTGGATGCTCTCACACCGTCAAGTAGGTTCATTGTTATGTTCATCTCACACCATCAAGTAATTTCATTATTATTTTGTTCATCTCACACAATCAAGTAAGTTCATTATTATGTTCATCTCACACAATCAAGTAAGTCCATTATTATTATGTTCACCTCACACAATCAAATAAGTTCATTATTATTATGTTCATCTCACACAATCAAGTAAGTTCATTATTTTGTTCATGCATATTTCCTTGGTGTGTTAAAATCTCAAATGTCACAATTCTTACACTAATTATTTATTACACAACTTGGACACCAATAATTCTTACACAACTGGAAACCAGTAATTCTTACACAACTGGACACCAAAAATTCTTACACAACTTGAAACCAGTAATTCTTACACAACTGGACACTAATAATTCTTACACAACTGGATACCAGTAATTCTTACACAACTGGACATCAGTAATTCTTACACAACTGGACACCAATAATTCTTACACAACAGACACCAATAATTCTTACACAACTGGACACTAATAATTCTTACGCAACTGAACACAAATAATTCTTACACATCTGGAAACCAGTAATTCTTACACAGCTGGACACCAATAATTCTTACACAACTGGACACCAATAATTCTTACACAACTGGACATCAGTAATTCTTACACAACTGGACACCAATAATTCTTACACAACAAGACACCAATAATTCTTACACAACTGGACACCAATAATTCTTACACAACTGGACACCAGTAATTCTTAAAGAACAAGGAACCATTAAGTATTGATACAACAAAGCATCATATGGAGTTTTATAGAACAATTCCTAAATTTGTTTTTTTCTCCATGTTATGCTAGTATGTCCTATTGGGATGAATTAGAAATGGTTTTGTATGTGGGAAGAATATTATTGTGTGGGATATTTTTGAACTTTTTGTTGTGCATTGCACCAAGCTGGTCCCATTCATCCAACACACAAGATACTTTTTTTTATTATGGTTGGCATCTATTGAAAACCTGTTTGTTCCCACTAATGGATGGGAGTTGAAACCATTCCCATCTGTCACGTGTTCTTTTTTGTTTTTGTGTGCTCTACCAGAAATTGAGCCTTACACAGTCAATGAAAGATTGTTCACAGAGAGACTAAATCCTGGCCTTGCGGAATACCACCCAGACACAGGCACAAGAGGAAGAGAACGCACCAAAGGAAAGCCGAGATTTGTGAGGTTTGTGTGGCAGCAGGTCATAGCTTTGCTTTGCCTTTAACCAGTTTGATAAGTATGATTTATGAAAACAATTTTCATTGATATTTTATGAAATAATAAAAGCCATTTTAATGATATTTCAGGACGCATGAAAAGTTAATTTTAATGTTATGTTATGAAATAAGAAAACAGATGTTTTTAAAGAACATTTTAAACAAGTTTTCAAGACTTCCTTTCAACTTGCAAATCCATGGGGTTTGTATGTAACTTTGTAGCATAATCTTTTTTGTTGTTGCGACATGTGACCCTCTTGCTTGTTTGATCATCTGGCTCATGTTTACCTGAAAGGTCCCATCTGAGTTGTGGCCACGGTTACAGCTCTGTTGAGCTGGGGAGGGTGAGTGAAGGGGAAATAAGAAAAGGGGATTTAAAAAAACAAAAAAACCTTCACTTCCAATTGGAACTTGGCCGGGGGGTGGGGGGGGGTGGGGGGGGGGGGAGGTGGGCAGGGCATTTGATGAGTGAAGGGGAAATAAGAAAAGGGGATTTAAAAAAACAAAAAAACCTTCACTTCCAATTGGAACTTGGCCGGGGGGGGGGGGGGTGGGGGGGGGGGGGGGTTGGCAGGGCATTTGAATAACTAGTCAGATTAATGGAAAGAAAGTCTGTGCAGAAAATATTTTTACAAATTAAGAAGAAAGGAAAACATATTTCTTCTACATTTAACTCGATTCCTTTGGCTTCATAGGGTGTCTTTCTACCCTTCTACACAGACTTTCTTAGTGCAATTCATTAAAATAATTTAAAGGCATTTTCTAATTTTTAGTTGTTTTTTTTTAAATAATTTTTTTATTGGTCACATTTTAAGTCTAATACCGAGACAAAAGATAAAAAAATTTAAAAAAGCTAACGACATTTTCAATGTTTAATTTTTCTCTTAATTTCAGGGTGAGTATTCCTTCATCAAAACTGCAATCACCGTACAGAGTCAAACCACATCGCAGAGGAAGTTTTGATGCCAGTGATTCTTGTTCCTTAAAAGATGTGAGTACACTACATGTGCTAATACATCTACCATTACATCTACCACTACATCTACCGTTACATCTACTGTTACATCTGCACTACATCTACAGTAAATATACAAATAAACCTAGCATTACATCTACAATCACATGTACAAATACGTCTACCATTATATCTACCATATCATAAACAATTTCATCCACCATTATATTTACCAACGGTGGCCAAACCGCGGCTGGCGAGCCGCATGCGGCTCTTCTGTGTTCACATTGCGGCTCGCGAACAATTTATGAAATTAAAAATTTTCGTCTGAAATATATAATATAAAAAATAAATGAAAGTTTAAAACAATTGAAAAGTTTAAATCATTAAATTCAAATAAAAAGTAATTTTAAAAAATAAATCACAAAAGGAATATTTCATTGTGAGTGGGGTCGTGTCCAATGTTCCCTTTAAGCTGCGCAGCTAATTTCCACTAAAGGGTGTGTTTGTGTCTGGAGGCTGTAAAATTTGCACAAAAAAAAATTGATGCTGTAAAAATGTGCACACAAATTTATGATTTTGCACACAAACCAACAAATGTTAGAGGGAACATTGGTGGTGACCCATAGTGCTTCAATGCGGCTCTCAACCATTTTTTTAATTTTAAAAATGGCTCTCAGCTACTACAGGTCTGGCCACCCCTGATATATACAAATACATCTACCATTTAATCAAACATAACATCCACCATTACATCTACCACTGGGGATCATAAACTAAAGAATTCAGTGATTTAAATTTAACATAACGTATTTGCTTATTTCAAAAGATCCAATTTTTGTTATATTATTTAACTGTTTATTAATTTTTTTGTATAAATTTATGCTCACTCCATGACATTATGAACTATGGTAACATAATGTAATTTTTTTATAATTATTAGTTAAAACAAAGTTATTCAAAGCATTTTTTAAAAACAAAAGTGTGCGCTATTCAAAGACCACAGAAATAGAAGACATGTTTTAACTGAAGTCTTTGACAGGTTTCAAAGACGGTTAAGTAAACAATTTGATTAAGTTTGTCATTTTTTAATAAAATGGTATAAAAAGTATTTGAGACATGAAAATATTGCATCGACTACCACTGAGACAACAGAGCTGCAGGAATGGACCAGAGGCTGCAGTAAGTAACTATTGCCAATATTTCATATTTCCAATATTTCTCTTGCAATCTCCAAGATATTATGACACAGAATGGAGCCTACCTGGTCCACAAGCTTGTTGCATACACAGTCAACAACCTGTTTGGTCCACAAGCTTGTTGCATACACAGTCAACAACCTGTTTGGTCCACAAGCTTGATGCATACACAATCAACAACCTGTTTGGTCCACAAGCTTGTTGCATACACAATCGACATCTGTTAAATTCTAAATTTTCTTTCTCAGAACTGTCTTTTGGGCTGGGAAAACACCATGCCGAATGTGATCCCCTATGCCCGGTCCATGGACCTAAACACAGAGGCCAGGCGACCTGTCAACTCAACCATCACAGTAAGTAGTTTGCATCAGTGGTCCCTGGCTCAGTGTTTAAACATTTTGACAGCTTTTTTGCTATTTCAATTTTTGTATTAACCCCTTTGTCAAGACAAAAAGATAACTAAAGTGGATAAGGGCTTTGTAATAGCAAACAATCAATATTCCTATCAAAAACTACTTCTCGGAATTTCACGTACTGTAAAAGATCCTTACTTGATATCGCTCTTATTGATTTGTAAAGCTGAGTGTGTATCTCAGTTGTTTCCTAAATCTGAGGTTATATCACTGAATTGATTTCTAAATCTGTTGCTATATCACTGAAACTGATTCCTGAAATAGATGCTCTCTCCCTATAACTGATTTCTAAATCTGTTGCTATATCATTGAAACTGATTCCTAAAATTGATGCTCTCTCCCTATAACTGATTTCTAAATCTGATGTTACATCACTGAAACTGATTCCTAAAATGTATGGCTATATCCCTATAACTGATTACTAAATCTGATGCTATATCCCATTTTTTGTTTACTAAATCAGATGTTATAAGTTATATCCATAAAACTGATTCCTGATACTAACCTTCATTTTGCCTTGATATCCACAGACTCTAGCAGAAGCTGAACAAATAGCCAGCTCAGTTCACCAGGCCCAGTGGCCATTTGTCAGGTCAGCTCGTCACCACGCTCTGTCATCATGGAAGAAGCATTACCTGGACATGACTGACAACATGCCACTCAGCGAGGACATGTCTTCAAATCTCTCTGTCAGTAGGTCGCTGTCTGAGCCTGCTCAACGCAAGACCACCACGGATAAACTGCTCAACTCGACCTACCAGATGATGTACGAGATGGAGAGACTAAAGGAGGAGAGAATGCTGGAGAGAAAGAAGGAAGATCAAGCAAAGAAACAAAATACAGCATAAAATTTGAAATCAAGTTTCTGCTAAAAAATGTATTAAATCTGGGATTCCCAAGCTGCCAACAAGGAAAGTTGAGAATTACTTTTGAGTAAAAATTTATTAATATGCCTTGTCTTACATCTATTCTAAATTTAATAATTTCTGCTATTTAATGTGACTCTTATCTGCTAAATATTTTAGCACCTTTGACTGTAGTTAGGGTACAATTAACTATGGATTGGGAGACCTCTGACTAAAGGTTGGTTGGCCAATGACCAAATATTTGTTTACCACTGACTCACCTAAGGTTTTGTTGACCACTGACCAAAGGTTGGCTCACTGTTGACCAAATGTTCATAACTCTAACATAAGGTTTGTGATGTCAGACTAGCAGTGTATGATCCAAGGGTAAATTTCTTTGCATGTCTATTAAAAATTAAAAATGGCTTAGAAATACCTAGATATATTTAGAAATACCTAGATATACTTAGAAATATTTAGATATACTTTATGGCAAGTAAGATGTAAGTTTTTTTTACATTTTTCTTGTTAAAACAGTTTTGTAATTTTCTTTATACACAGTTATTATATTTCATTGTATACACTTTGTACAAGTTTATTTGAAGATTCATACAAACAGAACAACGTGCTGTAAATAAATTGAATTGAAGCAAATGTCAAACCATACCCTTGTGTATCTGCTGAAAGTTTGTTATGGCCTACTTCCATAGGAAGGGATGGTCACTTACTTGTAATACTACAGGTATATGTGGGAAAAGTTTTGTAGAAATTTTAAGCAAATTGTCTTGAAAAATTAAAGTTTTCATTTCACTGATCACTCTAATTTTATTTGTCTTCTTAATTAAAACGCTCATCATAGATCAACTGCTATATAGATAAACTGTTCTATAGATAAAGTGTTCTACAGATAAACTGCTCTATAGATAAACTGTTCCTGATTCTACTTAACAGGCAACTTTAAAAAATAAATTTACTCTTTACAATTTGAATGTACAAGACACTATTTTGTTTCGTTCCTTTGATTTCAAGATTTAGTTTACAAGTTTTTTATCCTACTTAAAGTTTTTGTGGTGATTGGTAAGTGATGATGAAGTGATTGTTGCTTCAAGGAAAAGATGGCATGGATCATTTTAAGTCACTTAGTCGTGTCACCTGCCTGACAGATAAAAAAGGCAAATAAGCATTGTCAAAATGTATTTTGTAATAAAATTTATTTATTTATTTCATTATTATTCATGATTGTTTCTTTTTTTAAATTTTACTTTAATCTTTTTAATTACCCAAAGTTTTCATTAATTGGTATTTAGGGGAAGGGGGTAGAGGGGTGAGCTGCGTAGCATGTTACCTGGGCAGGTGATGAGCCATGTGATCTTATAAAATAGTACCTTTGAAACTTGCTCCAATGAAAGCACAGCTAACCAGTTAATGTACTTTTGTGACACCCTGGCTACCTTCTCTAATTTAAATGTGTTTTATGTGATATTGTCCGTGAGAAAAGTCTCCTGTAGCAAATTGTCCGCCCCCCCCCCCCCCCCCCCAAATCTGCAGCCCTGCTTGTCCCAAGACCTGCTGCCCCCAGATCTGCTTGCCCTACAGACCTGCCTGCCCCCCAGACCTGCCTGCCCCCCAGACCTGCCTGCCCCCCAGACCTCCCCGCTGTCAAATGGACATTGCTGCACATTGGACTTGCAACAACAACAAAAAATAATTAACATATACACGCTAAACACAATACACGCCAACACAATACACGCCAACACAATACACGCTAACACAATACACGCGAACACAATACATATTAGAATGATGGATAAACTCACAAGAGATACAAACAAAAACACAAGCACTTAGAATCCAATTGACAGGACAAGCCATTGGAAAGAAATCAGAAAATACATTTCCACATTACGTCATAGGAATTGGGTTAGGAAAATGAACAAAAATTGAAAGCAAAACAACATACCACATTTCAGAAGAAGAAAAGAATCGGAATTTCACACAGCTTGCATCAAAGTCATGAAAGGCAATGAAACACTCGTATGCAAAACAACCAAATAAATTTATGAAATAAGTAGAACAAAGCAAGGTTAAACCTGTAAAGGGAACGCAACAAAACAATGATTGTGTCGGCAGGAAGCTTTCGTCAGTGAACAAAACAACTGCAAGAACTGTTGGTTTGTTCGCTGACGAAGGCTTCCTGCCGACACGTTCGTTCGTTGTTTTGTTGCGTTCCTTTTTCAGGTTTGACCTTACTTTGTTTTACTACGTTTTTTATGAGCCATCCTGACTATATAAAACACAAATTTACTCATGTATGTGTGGTTCTGCAAGTGCATACTAGGCGCGCAAAATAAATTGTAATGTGGATGCTCTTTCTTTTTTAAATTTTGTTATAAAAAATAAACCTGGAAGAGCGTTAGTGAAATAAATGGTTTGTTATACATTTAGCACATTATATTTATCTCTGATATATTTAAAGCTTGAGTTAGCGCCCTTTACCTTGTAAGTACTACTGTTATTCATTAGATGGCGCAATAGTCAGAGTTTTGTTCAGATAGATTAGCAATCACGCAATAATCAGTTCTTCTTATTCTATATATTAAGGGCCCACTATCAATTTATTGATTATTTTGTCTCCTATGCATGTAGAGGGGATATGCAATGTTTCTGTGCCTGGTGTTGATGAGGATATTTCACTGATTGCAAGGGCTACTTTGTGAGGGAATCATGCACTGGGGGTTGAAAGGACTGAGGCAATAGACACAAATGTGTCAAGTGTTGTCGCCTCAACTGTTCATTTTGAAAGCTTGTTCCAGTCCCTGATTGTCTTGGGCAGGAATGAGCAGTTCCTGTATTGGCTTTTCGCTGGTATGAGCCGGAACGGCCTGTCATGGCCTCGTCGCTGTCTATGGGGGAGAGGGATGAGTTTCTGTTTAATACTGGAACAGTGAACTAGCCCATAATTGTACATCATGGAGAGCCTGGATAGTCGTCATAGTTCCTCCAATGGTGACCAGCCCAGTGTTTCTAGCATGCTGCCAACACTAGAGGTATTCCTGTAGCGGTTTAGGACAAAGCGTGCTGCCCGTCGATGGACCGCCTCTAACCTGTCGATGCTCTTCTGGATAAATGGGTCCCAGACTGAAGATGCATAATCTAAAAGCGGCCAGACAAAGGCTTTATATGCTCTTTCTTTCACACATGAGTTGCCAATCTTTAGACTACGTCTTAAGAGCCCTAGGGTCTTGTTTGCTTGGTTACATACATTGTTAATATGCTCGTCCCAGCGGACCTCTCTTTGAATGGTAACACCCAGGTACTTTACGGAGGAAACTAGCTCAAGTATGTGGCCGTGCAGTTCGCATTGGTAGTGTAGAGGAATACAATCTCTAGAGACTGACAGTGTCTGGCACTTGGCAGGGTGAAATTCCATGTCCCAGCTCATCTCCCACTCAGCTAACAGATTGAGATCCTGTTGTAGCTGGTCCTGGTGAGATCTGTTGGCGATCGTTCTATAAACAGCTGTGTCATCTGCGAACAGTCTTGCCTGGGATGTCAGTTTCTCGGGTAGGCCATTAGGATAGGAACAAACAGTGGCCTAGCACTGATCCCTAGGGGACCCCTTACTTAACACCGACAAAGGAGGAGCTTGTACCGTCCACCACTTCTGTTTGGCATCGGTTGCCGAGGAAGCTTGAGATACATGTTTAGTGGTGCCTGGATTCCATATCTCTGAAGTTTGTGTAGAAGCAAACTATGATTGACACGGTCAATTGCCTTTGAGAAGTCCATCCCCAGCACGTCAGTTTGCTTGCTGTTCTCCAGAATGGTCATTATGTCTTCTACAAATTCAAGGTGCTGGGTCTCACATGATCTATTGACTCGGAAGCCATGTTGACAGTCATTGAGTATATTTTGGCTTTTTAAGATGCTTCATGACTGCGCTTACGATTATGGGCTCCATCAGTTTGCAGACCACGCCGGTGAGGGATATCGGACGATAGTTGGCAGGGTTGGAATGCTCCCCTTTTCTTGTAGATTGGAGTGACATGCCCTGTTCTCCAGTCTGCTGGAAAATTGCCTGTGCACAGAGACGATTGGAAGAGGATTGTCAGTGCAGCAGCGAATTCTTTGGCTAATTCTTTGAGCACTCATGGTTTGATGTTGTCAGGACCACATGCTTTGTAAGGGTTTATGGTTTTGAGGAGGGCAGGCACACCTTGCTCTGATATCTGGATATCTTCCATGACGGGGTAGGCTCTGTTCATCATGTTGGTCTTCAGAAGGAACTCAGCCTCCGAGTACTCTCTACCGTCACCAAAGACCGACTGGAAATGCTGATTGAGTATGTCAGCCTGTGCTTTTGGGTCAGATATCAAATGGCCATACCACCTCAGGGGAGAAACTTCAGCGTTTGAGGACTTTTGGTGCTCCACATAGCTTCAGAAGCCCTTGTCCTGGACACCCTTGGTCGGAGTGCAGTCAAATGTGGCTTCGCAAGTACACTTTTCTTTGTTTTAGTTTTTAAAATACTTGTTTATTATCTCTCTGAGAGTAATCATGTGACTGTGACATGTCATTAAACTAAGACATGTGACTGCGACATGTCATTAAACTAAGACATGTAACTGTGACATGTAATTGAACTAAGACATGTGACTGTGACATGACATTAAACTACGACATGTGACTGTGACAATCTATCATTATCATACTAACTCATGTGACTATGACATGCCATCTTAGTAGGACATGTGACTGTGACATGCCATCATACCTAGACATGGTCACGAATATATAGTCACAAATGTATGGTCAAAAATAAGGATTTTGATCACGCATATTACTGTGAGCACATACAATTCATATGAACACATCTATCGATTGTTCAGGGTAAGGCGAGTCCCGCTATGAAAGTGTCATAATCGAAGTATCCTATTGTCTGTCTAAACATTGCCCGCTGTCTAGCTGGGGGCTGGAGGCTATTTTATTTACTTTTCCAGGTTAGATGGCTCGTGGCTGATGATTCTAGCTTATCGTAGCCTATTCTCCCATCCACCGTAGTGTACAGCAGCGGTGTTCATCCGTTTTAAACCCGTTGTCCGGAAAAAAATGATTTTAAAAATGTCGTTGACAACTGGGGCAGATAATATTATTTACGATATTCTACAGGGAAATTATCGGTTTATCTTTTTATCTAAATTTGTATAATTGAAATTCCATCGGTTTGAATGTAAAAAAACCAAACAAAAACAATTAAAAAAAAAACAAAAACAAATTCAAACAGGGGTGGATTTACCTATCTGACGTCAGTAGGGCATCGTCCGATCACTTTTTTTTTTGGCCGACGCATCGGCCGCTTTCCGCCAGGGAAAAAATATTGTGTAAGAGTAAACTAAAACTTTTAAATAAAACACAGCAAGGATTTAATATACTTTTATATTTCAATATAAAAATTAAATACTGTCTTCTGTTTTCAAAATGTCTGTCTTGTAATGAAATGTCGCTCTCTTTGTACTATGAACAGATTGTTACAGGAAGGCTAGCTCAACGATCGCGCGTGATTTTCTGGTGCTGTCGGCGTTCAGAGCTCGTCTCTACAAAGTCTCAACAAACAAGTAGCCCTACAGGCAGCCTACTCTTACAAAATATTTTGAAACAAAATGACTTGATCTGTCACAGGCCGAGAGGATGACAGAAAAGACATTTGAGGCATTGAATGACATGTTGTCACAAGAATGGCCCATTGTGAGTAAAGCCTCAGAGCTGTTGACCTGGAATGAGAATGTTCTGTTAGATCAAGAACAAAATGATTTTTAGATTGAAAAAGTCTCACCGCCTGTGCGTCACAGAGTACGAAAAGTGCTTCGTGTAGAAATTGCAGACATTGAACCATTGTTTGATCCTTAAATAATATTTTTTTTTTGTTAATCAGGGCCGCCTAATCTAGAATTTAAGAGAACTGTCATAGCTATTGTGTTGTCGAGAGAACTAGTCGTTGCATGGAGAGGTTCATTAAGGTTTCTACATTTAGGTTTGATCGTAGACAAACAGGGAAGAGAAAAAACGTTCTTAAAAACTGTATGAACATCTGACTAAAGATTAACTACGTAGTCTTTAACTATGGGATTATTGGCCCAGGAATTAACTTTATTTTCAGAGCTGTAATCATTAATCTTTTAAGCTGACGCTATTTAATAGTGACTCATTATATCCAATGTGTCA